CCGGGGCCGCGGGGCCGCCCGGGCCAGTCCCGCTGCAGCCGGTCCCTGCGCTCGCGCGCGACCCCGGGGCCCCGCCGCAGTTTCCTCCGGCGGCGGGACTGCGCCGAGGACGCGGGCTGCTGGCTGCGGCAGCGCCGTCCGAGCCTGTACTGGACGCCCGGCGCTTAACTTGCGCGGCTCCGCTCCAGCGCTGCACTGGGAGGTGGAGCGCCTTCCCACAGTCACGCTGCTGGGAGGGGAAACGGGGGTGCAAACCCCGGGCGCACGGACTCGGGCGCCCACGCCCGACCTCGCCTCCATCCTTCTCCCCACCCCCACGCGCAGAGCGTTTTTAGGGTTCGAGCTCTGTTCCTCGGGTCCAGATTGGGCTGCAGAGGGTGTGTCTGGGAACCCCTATCTCTCCCCACCCCCCGAAATTGAATGCAGCATGACATATGAGTTGGCTTGTGAGAGAGCCCTGGGCTTTTGTCAAATTCCCAAAAGGTTCCCTGATCCCAAAATGGTCCAGAACTCTCGTCTGGCCCTGTGAGCGAACAGGAGTGGGCTCAGGGCAGCCGTGTGTGCCGCGGGTGGGGTGTCAGGCCGACCGAGCCCAGGGCTTGCCTTGGGCTGGGCGAAGGAAACTTTGAAAGTGTGAGTTTTGTTAAAGCACGTGATTCCACTCTTGGGCGCAGTGGTGCTCCACCGTGTCAGAAGCAAGGCCCCTCCCCTTTGCAGCAAACATTTGTAAAGCCCACTTGACTGCCCTGTTAATTCATCATGAGATACGCGTGATTGACAACCAGCATGAGGCTCCAGTTTAAATGCAAGGGGGAACGAGGAGAACAATGCATGACACGCCTTGCCATATCCTTTACATCTAGCACCTGCAGAGGTGCTCACACCTGCTTCTAATGAGGAGTTTTGATTGAAGAGCGGTAAAAATATCAGGTGCTATTTCAAACACGGAACGGCCAGAGATACAGATGGATGCAGTGTGTGTATGTATATGTGTGTGTGAGAGAGTGAGGGTGGGGGGTGGTAACCTGTTTATGATAATGGAGAAACAGCCTACGGTGAATTAGGGATCACATGCCAAGATACATTACAGACTATCTCGATCGACACATAAATATTAATACAACACCTGCATGGATGCCGTATTTTCAAACTACACTGAAGGGCACCTTCTGTGTCACAAGTTTTGAGGTACTGCTACTTTGAGGCACAATGTTGGACTCCTACCACTTACCACTAATTATGAATAAAATATTGACAAGATTGAAATTTAAGGATTCAGTGCCAGTATCTCACTAGTTTACAAATGCTCAGTATTATTGCAATTATATGTTAACAATATGTGATGTGAGGAAATGGTCACGGATTTTCAGATGTTAATTATTTTAGGTCAACTTTCCTCCCGTTCGCTGCCTTCTCCTGAATTACTGGGGTTCCCCCATAATATCATAGAAAAACTTTTCAGTATTATGTTCCTAAAGTGATGCCGGTTTATAGTGATTCATTTGGCTGGACATTTAAAAGAGTCTCAGGACTGGGATGAATCTTCAGTGTGTAGTCTGTCACATGCATTATGTGAAGTCCAGTATCCTGGAAGTGGTGTCCCTCAGTCACTTTCATAACATGTCTCTTAGGAGACAGCACCAGCCCCTTGAGGTCCATTCTAAATGAACAGTTGTCTACTCAATTATGACAGGAAAGGGGCCCGAATTTAACTGACACTTAATTTTTGTTGGGAATTCCTTCCCCCCACCCCCCGTATTTCCCCCACCCCCATTTATTCTGAAGTGTCTGACATACCAAAAAGGTAGGCTCTTAGCTAGTGACACTTCCATTGATTAGTCTCAGCTGGGAGACAAGGTTAGTACCTATGTCCCTTTGTCTGAAAAGTTTGTTTAATGGAAATTCTTGTTAGAAATGTTGACAACTAAACCCTTGAATCAATGAGCAGTTTGAGATTAGAATGGAGTTGGGAAGTGAAAGCAATAATGTGTAGAATAAGTAAAAAGGCCTGAGTTAAGTAAAATACAAATTAGTACTCTATAACCACCTTTTAAATAACCTTCATTCCTACTTAACTACTATCTGCATTAGAGAATTTAGAAAAGGTAGATGTGTGCAAAGGTGAAAATTAAAATGACCTATAATCACCTATGTCCTCAGTCCTGGTATGATTTGTTAGAAATTGTCTTTTCATTTGAAATTCTGTTAGTCACGCTGCTTCAGGGGAAAATGCAAATTGAGTTAAGAAAGTTCAACTCAGACTATTAAATAGCTACAGTGTAACATTATATATTTCTTCAACTCTAGTTAAATCTACAAAGCAAGATGAATGGATAAATTGCTTCTTGCTGTCAGATGTTTGGTTATTGTTCATCAGTTGGTACTTTTGAAGGGTGCTATGGAAACAAATGTGTAACTAAAGACTGTTGTCAAAATAGAAGAATATACGTTGTCTAGAGGTAGATACATTGAATACTTTTGGATTGGAAAGTTATCCAGCTTGAGAGTAATTAATTTTTATTACTTTGAGCAAGCTGTATCACATTCCAGGATAAAAAGAGGTCACTCCTTTTTTTTTCCTTACCTACTTTTAAAAAAATTGGTACTTTTTTTATAAAAAATAGTCATCTGTATAAAACTGAACCAAAGGATATGAATTGCACAGATATGGAAACTTTCAGTTTTTAGGTGTGGCGGATACATTGTTGAATGGGCAAAAATCCATGCCTGTGTGGATGAAAATGAGTGATTTACTGGGCACATACCTCTGAGATTGATAATTAAGCAATTCCATTTATTTTCAAGATACATATCTAAGATGGAATGGTATCTTAAAATTGGCATGTCATGGTTTAATTGGAAACTTTTCTTGGTACATAAAATAATAGTGTGTCTGGAAATCCACTGCGTCTTAGATTCTGCAAAATAGAGAATATGTAGAAATTTTAGCACATTGATTAATCTTTAACACCAAAATCTTTATCCAAGAGATGACTTGCAAAATGAACATACACAGCAGTTCTAGGTCCTTTCATCTAAACCAGAATTCTTGACTCAGAAGATTCCTGTAAAGATTTTTTCCCCCCATGTAGAACAAATGGAGAATCGGTGTTTGTAAATATAAGAACCGTTTTTTTGGAAATGTTTAGAAGGAAACAAACTGCTTGGTGATTTTTCATGGAGAGCAGATGGTGTGGTTAATGTGTTTGAGGTAAAGTTAATCAGACAGTGTAACCAGGCAGATGTATGAATATGGTTCTTTGATTTTTTTTCCCTTCTGGAGGGTTCTTAGGTCCAGTTATAAATGAAAATTTTCTCAAATGGGACATCCTTAAATTGGATTTCAACAATTCATAGTTGATATTGTTTTAATAAGAAATATGTTTGAGAATATATTTACTATGTATTAAGTACAGAATTTATAGACAGAGCTACATGGTAGCCAGGAAACCTGTGTAAAGACTTTTTCCATCTTCTATTGAGGGCAGATTTCCTAGGAAACTCAACCACATGAAGACTGTTCGCATATTCCACAGGTGGACTTAAGCTTTTCTTCTCAGAGTGTGGTCGCCAAACCAGCAGCACATCAGCAACACCTGGAGCTTGTTAGGAATGCAGACTCTGGGGCCTACGCCAGCCCTGCTGAACTGGAATCTGCATTTTTACAAGATGCTCCTCCCAGTGACACATGTGAATGCGTGGGAAGCACTGGACCCTACCAGTGGCTCTCAAACTTGAGCGTGTATTGTAGGGAGTGCTACCTGTTCCTCCTCGAGTTCCTGTTTCAGTAGATCTGGGCGGGGCCACAGAATTTGCATTTTCAGAAAATTCTCAGATGATGCCAGTTGCTGTGGGTCCAGGGACCACACTCTGAGAACCGTGAGACTAAAGCACCCTTTCCATTGCACCCGCCTGTGTTCTCTCCTAATTCCTCACTCCTCCAAATAGCTTTTGAATAGATTATTGTAGTCATGTGCTTTAGCAAAGTTGAAGAAAAAAATTACATTGTCTTTTATAATTTTTATTGTCGTCCACACTAAAATTGCTTGTCAGTATCTAATTGCAGAGAAAAAAAATCGCTTTAAATGCTTGTTGGATTTTGACTCTGATTCATGGGTAGTTTTCTTTCTCTTCTTTATGTGAGTTATACTTTTAACGCTTTAAAATTCCTTTTGTATAAATAAAATGTTTATATGGTTCAAAAATTAAAACAGCATATTTTGAGGAATCGAACAACTTGATCTTGGTCTAACCTGTCCCCTTGCCCCACAGCAAACCTCTTTTCTGCATTTCCTTCAGATGGCTATTGTTTTCTTTGTGTAGATAGACACGAATACCTGTGTATTCCTCATATGTATACACCCTTTCTCCTTTTTATATAAAATGTAGCACGCTGTGTAAATTATTCTGCCCCTTGCTTTTTTCAGTAATATACCTTTGGGATCTTCCTATATTAGTGCATAGAAAACAAATATTAAACAGCTTCAGAATATTCCATTGTATGCCTGTGTCATAGTTTATTGAACTAGCCCTCACGGGCGCACATTTGCGTTTTTTCTAGACTCTTACAGTCGCAGTTAACCTGGCAGGAATAACCTTGCACACACATCATTTCGTACATGTGAGGTGTCTGTGGAGGCTATCTTGGCGGAAGCAGGATGGCTGGGTCAGTGAGCAGTGCAATTAGACTTTTGATAAACGGTATCCTCCTTCAGGGTTGTACCATTTTGAACTCCCACAGATAATGTGTTAGAGGACCTGTGTCTCCATCGCCTCTCCAACAGCCTGTGTGGAAGCACCTTTGGGTTAGAGGCATCTTATAGGTGAAAAAGGATAACTCAGTGTAGCTTTAACGTGCATCGCTTTGGTTATGAACTAGGCTGAGCACCTTCTCATGTGCTTAAAGCCCACTTCTGTTTCTTTTTCTGTGAACTATCTGTTTCTGCCTTTTGCACTTTGCGCATTTGTCATTTGGATTGCTGTTTTCTAATCAATTTCTAGGACTTTGTAAATTAGCCCTTTGTGATCTCAGTTGCAGTTTCTTTTTTACTTACTTTCATGTATTTTGGTATAGGGCAGGCTTAAAAGTGTTATCTTTATATTTTAGGTAGTTAATATTTTATGGCGTCTGGATTTTGAGTCACAGAAAGGCCTCTAAGACTTGGAATTTGCCCATGTTTTCTTTTAGTACAGATATGGTTTCATTTTTACAGTTAAATCTTTGATCCATGTAGAATTTATTCTGGTGTTCAGGGACACTGTATAGATTCAACTTTATATTTCTCCAATTATCTTTATCCATTTATCTTTATCCATTCCAGTTATCTTTATCCATTCATGGCAGAATGCAGTACACCTTTATTGTATTCTGAACTTCCCGATGTATTGAGGTACACCTCTGGACTTTCTGTTCTGTCCCATTAGCCTTTCTATTCATACTCCAGTAGACGTTATTGGTTTTATAAAATGTTTTAATATCTTATAAAAACTAGTTTTCCCGTGTCGCCCTTCATTTTCCTGGCAATTCTTGCTTGTTTATTTTTCCATGTGAACTTTAGAATCATTTTGTCTCATTCCAGAAAAAAATACTTAAAAATAAATTGAGATCATGTTAAATTTATAAACTTAACATGGGGAGAATTGATATCTTTCTGGTGTTGAATTTTCCAATCCAAGAACATTGTCTATATTTTCATTCGTGTGATTTTACTCTTGAATCTTTCTGAAGCATTTAAAAGTTTTCCCCATATAGGTTTTGCCCATTTCTTATTAAATTTATCTTACGTATTGTATCTTTTTGTTGCTTTTCTAAGTATGATCTTCTTTTCCTTTTTCTAAGTGGTTTTGATTATATGTATGAAGATGGTATATTTCTGTATAAGTCCAGAAATTGATATACCCTGAAGTTATAAGTAGTTTTTAATGGACTTTAAAATTCTGCAAAATCCCTTGTACATTTTTGCCTAAGAGAAAGAAAGACGTGAGGTCAAACTTATAGTTTAATTCTGTGTCTGCATTTACTAGCTCTGTGGGCATCAAGGGATCCCTTTGATTTCTCTGAGCCTCAGTTTCCTGATCTGTAAAAGGCACAATTCTGTCTTTGTTAGAATGTTGGGAGAATTAAAGAAGAACATGAGAAGCTCATCGCTCAATGCCCCTTCCTCCACCATCATCGCCAGGGCCAACATGGGCTGTGTTTCCTGTCACACCATCCCTTCCACCTAGAATGTTCTGCTTTGGATAGTCCTGCCAGGTCACATACACCCACCACCCAGGAACACACAGTGTCTGTCTCCTCGTGTAGCTCACCTTCTGGTACAGGACACCTTCGCTGTCCTGTAGCGGGGCCCTGGGTAGACTGGAGACTCTGAGGAGACAAACCGTGTCCGCCCTGTCCACAGAGAGTGCCCAGCAAAATGCCTGGCAATGAATAGACTCCCAGGTTTGTTAACAAACGAACATAACTGACTCTTATCCTTCTTTTGCCATATATTATGTGTCTGGACATTCTTATAAGACACTTATAAGCCCCTTGACAGGACACTTATAAGCCCCTTGAAGACAAGGATTATGCCATTTCTCAATAATAATAACAACAACAATAGTGGTGATACAAGTGGTGAGGGGCAAACAGATTATTATGTAGAAGCACATAATAATAAAAGCAGTAACTAACATTTATTAAACATTTGTTATGTTGCAGGAACTGTTATAAAGTCCTGGTGGGGATTATCTCCTATAATCCTCAGCAGTCCTATGAGTTGAGAGCTGTTACTATACAGATGGGGAACGGGAGGCCCATGGAGGCTGGGCACTCGCCCCAGAGCACACAGGCTGGAAGTGGGGGAGAGGGAAGCAGACACAGAGGCTGAGTCCGGCAGCCCCGGTCAGCCTGCTTCAGGCTCTGAGCCTGCGCATTGAGTGCATTCACTTAGGTCCTTGGGAGACTTGGGGAAAGTGATTTCGTTACATCTTCTGTTTGGTTCTGTCTCATTCATCTCAGACTTCATGCTCTCCAGGGGGCTTTATCTGACCATCCTTCCTGCCTGCCATGTCCTAGGTGTTCAATAAAAAGTAATTTTTGTTTTTGGTTTTGTTTTTTCTCCAGGTTCATAATAAAGGTGCTAAGAAAGAGAATGTAAGACAGGAAAAGAATTAAATATTGGACTGAGGTAAGTATTTTTATGATTTAATGTTTTTCAGAAAAGAAACTTCCGACTATTTTTTGAAAATCCCTCTCCATAGCCCGATTTCTTAAGATGTAAGAGGGAGATAGTTTTAGGAGTGTTCAAGTTCACAGAACCTGGGGTTCTTCAGGCGGGTGGGTCATGCCAGGAGCGAGGGCTGTTTGAATAAGGTCAGTTAAATCCCCATTATCTCATTGTTTAGAGCACGGTGCTGAGAAAGCGACCAGGCAGGTGGAAACCCATAAGCTGCCTGGTGGTTCTGCAGACTTGCAAGATTCAGTGAAAACTTTGTTCTTTTAAATAGGGAGTTGAATGGGTTTTGAAACCACTTTTGGTGAAATAGCAACACTTTTTCTTAAATGAAAATGTGCTGTATTTTCTTATTATAATGAAAAAAGGCATCCATCAATATAAAAAAAACATAGTGACAAAACACTCAACTCCTACCACCTGGAAATGACTGCCATTAATATTTTAGTAAACATAGTTTTAGAAATTTATGGATATAGAATATTTATATGCAAATTGGTTTACATTATATATGGTGGTCTTTTTTTTAATGCAACAATATGTTTCGTACATCTCTATGGATTGTAAAAGACTTGCATAATCATACATGATAATTTTACTGGCTACATAATATGCCATCGTTTAGGGGCACCATACTTCATTTAATCACTCCTTCGATGACAAAAATTTAGATGGTTTTTAGTGGATAATACATAATGGTGTGTTGATCAATCCTGTACTTACATCATGGTGTACTTATTTATCTTCTTAGATGTATAGCTGCTGAGTCAAAGATTATACACATTTTAGGCGTTGAAACATATGGCTAAACTGCCCTCTGTAAGGAGGTGATTTATCACTGCCCACTCCCACCCTACTCCTCACCTTATTTCGCCCGCCCCTGCCAGATCCCTAGCAGAGTCCTGTTTTCCATACCCATACCATATACTGAGATTTTTTATCTTTTTAATCTTTGCTGTCCAATGGGAAAAATGGAATCTTTTTTGAGATAGACTGGAATAAACCTTTTATGTTTCCAAAGACTTCTCATTTGATATTTTTACTTAAATGAAGAGTTTCCTTCGGGGAACATACCTGTGATTCTCATGCATAAGCAAGACAGTCTGGGACTTTAAATGTCATGAAAATGTTAACATATGTTGAGTTCTTTGTTTTTATGTCTATTCACCTAACTCATAAGTATTTTGAAATTATTGACAACTAATTAGTCGTTTTGGATACCGAAAGTTTTTCTTTATAGAGTACAATACCTGTTTTTATTCATTTATAGTGGAGCTTAATGAAGCTTCAAAAACTAACTTTTTAACGTCTTTCAAACATGGATACCAATTGCAGAATAGCATACAGAATATGATTTTATAAACTTGTGTGATAGTGGAATATCGTTGAGTTATGTGAATTGTGTGAATATGTGTTCACATGGAAACCTGTGAGTATTGATCAGATGTTGAGTCATCTGTCCAAAGGATGTTGCCAGTTTCTGATATGAATGTGAGCTCTAATTTTATGTTTGCTTTTGATTTTATTCCGGTCACATAAGGGTTCCTTAAGGAAGGCCTCACGTGAAACACACCAGCTTCGTCATTGACCCAGTGTTTGTTCTTGGACTTAATAGGAAGCCAATTTAAATTATTTTTTTCTTAGGCATCAAATGCATGTTCTTGTAAGATAGATTGCCTTTTATGTGGGTGCTTTTCACTCCAGGTTAGCGTTGTTGAGGACACGACCAAGTGTGTTTTTCACCAGCTTACATCTAGCAGCTATTATGATACCTGGCACCTACACGGCAGACACTCAAATCGTTTTTGAAGGAATAAATGATTGGTGTATATTGTCATGTTACGTTAGAATTAAGATATAAATGAGAAATAATTCAAATTTTAATGAAGAAATTTAATTTCTTGGAGAAGAAAACTAGCACTTGTGATTTTTAAATGCACCTAAATACAGACAAACGTAATTGCGGTGACACTTGCTACCATAATATTTTGTGATGTTTTGTTCAGACTATTGATTTAGACTATATCCCACTTCTTTTCAGAATCACATACACTACTGTGTTTTAAATCTTTTTTGTTTGTTTTTTGTTGCTGTTAAGGGCAAAATAGTATCTAAACTAGGTAAGTAAGACACTAGATCTTATGAAAGAGTCCAATTTATGTTTCATATTATAGACATGGGAATATTTTTCAGTTATGTTAATTAAAGACCAGGATAAAGTGGAATGCCCCAAAATATATTTTTGGTTATAATGGAGAGGAACTGAGTTGTATTTTAATTGTGTGGTTTAGCATTTATTAAAAAGTAGAGAAATAGATTGCCAGCCATTGAGAAGAATGTATAAATCTTTGTCCCGTATCCTGCCTATTAAGCTTTCCTGACTCCTACACCAGTTTTTCACAGCCAAAATAAACAAAGAAGATGGAAAAATTATCTAATAGATTAAGCAATGTTGTGGACTCTTGTTTCATACATTTTGTTTCCACTGGAATATGGGATTCTAAAGAATGCGTGAGCTAGTATTAACTAGTATTTCAGCAACAGCTATTTGGATATAAAAAGTTTTAATTGATTAAATAATCCCCTAGCCATTTTTACTTGTACTTTAATTTGCTTAACAACCCTTTCCTTAATAAATAGTCCAAAGTTAAATCTAGATTGACTTAAAATTAGTGGATCTTTGTTAGTCATATCTAAATTAATGAGATTTCCTAGACTCTTCCCTCTGATATCTCATTATGACTAATGGTATAATCTTGTATTTGTTTTATAAAATAACCAAAGTTCTGGGTTCTTGAATCTCTTTTCTGTGGCAATATAGGAATTTGTTTGTTGGTACCGTTTGTTTCACTGGTGAGTTAATTTCTTTAAACCCCGCTTCAAAACTCTAATTCTAAAAATACTCCTGGGAAGTGAGGCATTACTAGTAGTTAGACTGAAGTCTCAATTAAAATTAAGATTTTATCATTTATTTCTCCTCTTAGCTGCGTTTAGGAAAATTTTTATACTGTTTGAGGACAGATTTTAAGACATTGTTACATATTTAATGAGTTGGATTTCGGGCATTTGTAACAGTTTCTTCCTATTTTAGACATAAAGCTGAAAGTTTAGACTGGCAGTGTAAGTGGTTATTTGATTGGAAAGTTGGAAAGAGGAGTAGTTCTGTCTTCATGTACAGAATTTGTGGTGGCAGAATATTCAGATGAAACCCCTGTGATCAGAGTGAACATGCAGAACTGCGGTAGGAGGGAAAAAGCTGTTTTAAGGGCTTGTATGCGGTAGATAATAGAGCCCTGGCAAAGCTAACCCTCTGGGCTTCTGTAGTATCTGTACCTGAGTTGGTCTGGCACAGAGGTCTTTTTAACTCAGAATCTTAAGTAGCGTTTTGGGGAAAAAGGGGGTGGAGAACAGTAGCTTTGGGCCACCAGTTCCAAAATGAGCACAGTGCTCAGTGAAATACCCACAGGATATCCCCAGCCTCTGGATGTCCTGTCACCCTTGAGAGATTGCCTTTCTTCCCCACCATGGACGCTTTGCCGCGTTGTGGCATGATGGACGTGTGCCTGGAGCTGGGCAGAGAGAGTCTGACTGCCTGTTACTGCAGCGGCTCGATACTCTTTTCAGCAGACTTCCAACATGGGAGTGTGTCCGAACTTCGTCCCCTCGTTTCATAGCAGTGTAATGACAAACGGGAGCTCCACGCAAGTTTTTCCTTCATGGCGGCCTTTTCTAAGAGGACATGTAGTTCGTGGTGAGGGCTGTGTGTGTGTTAAACCCAGTGAGTTTTGCTTTAAATAGATTTCAGTCTGTTCTAATGTAACAAAGTCTTCCAGTCTGAATGTTCTAGCAGCCATCACTCAAACGTTAATTGCTGTCAGTGGGAAAGGATATCCTCCTACATCTTTTCTGAGTGCTTGAAACCATCCCACTTCCTTTTCCTTTCACCTTAAGAACTGATTACTGACACTTGGGAATTATAATCAGATTGTATCAATCTTTATGGAAAGGTTACCAATTATTGCACTGAAGAATATGCATTTTCTGTAATAGTAAGTGTTCCTCTTGGTGTCTCTCTCTCAGTTCAGGGCTTTTAAATTCACCTGTTAGGTGAATGAATGCTTTGTGTCATGCCCTGATTTAATACATCTGAAAGACTTTATTGATGGTTTTCTTGCCTTCAGTTCTATGACAAGGGGGATAATTTCTTTAATGTGAACTCTTGATAGGATTTTTCAGTTGTTTAGACGTCCTTGGGGTGGAAGAAGGATGGCTGATGTCAGTTACTTGCATGATGCTATAAGCTCTAGAGCAGCGGTTCTCAACCTTTCACAGGGGTCGCCTAAGACCATCGGAAAACACATATTTTCAATGGTCTTAGGAACCGAGACACCGCTCCTCTATCCGTCTCCAGGCCCACATGCAGATACATCCACATATGAGTACCCGGCGACCCCTGTGAAAGGGTCGTTCGACCCCCAAAGGGGTCGCGACCCACAGGTTGAGAACCGCTACTCTAGAGTGAGTGTGTGTTTGGAGAGTTGCAAGAGTGAGCACTTCTAAGGTGGGGCGGACATGCCGGGCATTGGGCTCTCCGCTTTGTGCGTCTTCCCTCATTTGGTTCTCACAACTCCGAGAAGAAAATTACCCCGGTTTGAGAGAAGAGAAAGCCTCAGTTATGAAGTTTGTCCTTGTTCGTGAGGCTTCATTATGTTTTTAAAAAATGACTTGAATCCAGATCTCCCTGGCTGCAGAGTCGGTGGCCTCTTCTTATGTACATCGGTAGAGAAGGGGTCTCAGGGTTGTTAGAATGTTTCTGTAATTGTAGATAATTGAAATGTTGGACAGAATGAAGAAAGAAAGCTACTTTGTCACCACCATCACCACCATTCTCACCACCCTCTTTATTTCTGATGCTCTTCAGCATCGGCTGATGAAGTCTCGGAGCCTGCCAGGGT